GGTCAAGGGCCGCTTCTGGAGGACACTAGTCACTGGACACAGCCTCTCCGAGCAGGGGGAAGCTAAACAAAGGGTGATGGGCCCCGGCGTGGGGAGTCCACCTGCTTCAGAGTTCCACTATTAAACAAAAACAGCAGAAAACTTGTGACCAGGTCAGGGAGATGGCTCCATGGATACAGCGCTGGCCATAAAAGCACAAAGACTAAAGTTCAAATGCCCAGATCCCACGTAAAGCTGGGCAAGCCTCACGGCTGCCGACAATCCCAGCATCCAGGAATTCCTGGGGCAAGCCGGCTACCTAGACCAGCCAGAATCAGTGAGGCCCTGGTTCAGTGAGAAACCCTGCCTCAACTAATAAAGTGGAGCGGGAAGGAAGAGGACACCCAACAACAGTACTCAGGATCTGATCTCGACAGGCACACACTCACACGCGCACTTTTACCAGTGCACACCTGCTCAGGCACTAACACACATTCAAGCAGGCATATGCACGTGTATGACCCCCCCCCCTTTATATGTACACCATGGCATGTGCACACGCAAGAAATGTAATTTAAAAAATACAAACAGTTCTTTGTTTTGATTTAATTATAGAGACAGAAAATGGCGCCGTACAAGGCACAACTTGATGAACAGTGCACTCTCCACTCAGCCTCCCCCAGTCTAACAACAGCGTGCAGAGCACAGAAAGGTGCCAGATCCAGAAAATGGACTCACTGCAAACAAGCCACAGCCCTTACTCGGATCCGGCCGGTCAAGCGTGCATTGTCTGTGTGTGCATGTGTACAGTGCCTTCTGCCGCTCACATCTCCCCACCCCTACAATGCCCCCCCCCCCAATGATGTGGACTTTGAACTGTGAGCTGAAATGAAACCCTTTTTCCTTTCTCCTATAATTTGCTAATTGTTTTCCTTTTCTTTGTTTTTCTGAGACAAGGTTTCTCTGTAGAGCTCTGGCTGTCCTGGAACTCACGCTATAGACCCGACTGACCTTGAGCTCACAAAGATCCACCTGCTTCTGTCCCTCGAGTGTTGGAATCAAAGGTGTGCGCCACCACTACCGGGCCATAAATGGCTTTGTCTGGCTGTTTTATCACGGCAATAGAAAAGACAGTTACCTATATTATCCCTTTTCTTTTTCTTTCTTTTTTTTCCCCCCTTGGTTTTTCAAGACAGGGTTTCTCAGTAGCTTTGGAACCCGTCCTGGAACTCACTCTGTAGGCCAGGCTGGCCTCGAACTCAAAGAGATCCTCCTGCCTGCCTCCTGAGGACTGGGATTAAAGGTGTGCGCCCCCACTGCCCGCACATTTTCCCTCTTCAACACAGGAGGGAACTGCAGTGGGGCATGAGTATTAAGAATGAAAGATCACTGTGGACAGTCTCTGGGGTTGGCCATGTTGCACCTTTGACAGGAAGACAGTTGGTCACCTGCGTGCTTCTCTCTCTGGATGACAGATTGTCCTTTGTGTCTCGAGAGTGCAACACAAAGCAGCCTTCTATGTGTGACCAAGCAACAAAATATAAGGATGCCTGGGGCCCAGCACCCCAGAGCCTCAGTGCTAGGCCTATGCACTACCCCAGGCTGTACCACTGGAAAGGCAGACATCTCAGTCCTAACAAAGCAGACACTTCCCGTTCTTGTCAGGGTGGCTTCATCTGTCCTCGTTACTGATACAGTGACTGTCCTCTCACTCCCAGCTCCGTGGCCTTTGGGTCTGTTCAAGGCTTGTTGGGGAGGGCGCCGGAGACGGACCGTGGGCTTTTGTTCCCCTATCAGCTTCTGCTCCTGATAGAACATCTGCTCTGTGATACAGCATCATGACCAAAAGCAACCTGAGGAGTAAAGGGTTCGTTTCAGCTTATTGCTCCCGGGTTATATACTCCATCATGGGGAGAAGTCAGGCAGGGACTCGAGGCAGGAAGGGAAGCAGAGGCCTCGGAGGAGTGCTGCTACTGGTTTGCTCTTCTTGGCTTGCTCAGCCTGTTTTCTTAAAGCGCCCAGGACCACAAGCCCAGGGAGAGCACTGCCCTCAGTGAGCTGGGCCCTCTCACAACAACCATTAATCAATAAAATACTTCACAAGCTTGCCCACAAGCCATTGTGATGGAAGCGTTTTTCTCAACTGAGGTTCCCGTCTTTCCGATGACTCACGTTGACAAAAACCAAAACCAAAACCAAATAACAACAACAACAACAAAATCCTAGCCAGTACAGTGTATGTGTACATGTGCCGTCGTGTGTGTGTGTGTGTGTGCTTGGGTGCTTGTGTATGCTCATGCAGAGGCCAGGGACCTACTGGGTGGCTTCCTCGGTTACTATCTTATTATTGAGACAAGGTCTCTCACTAAACCACTAGCTCTTGGATTGAACTGCCTGACCAGTTAGGCCCTGGATCCTCCCGCCCCTTCCCAGGACTGGGATTACGAATGAGCATCGCTAAACCCCTTTTCATATGGTTTCTGGGTATGCATGGTTGCTGGCTCAGGTTAGCTGATGTTGGGTGTGTGACTGTCAAGGACTCCTGACTGGGAATCTACCTGGGAAGACACAGAGAAGGTGCCACTAGAGAACCCACCAGAGACGGCACCAGGAAGGGTCCTCCAGGGGAGAGTCCTGGTCCTGCCTGCTCTGGGCCCAGAAGCCTTTGCTTGCCCCTGCAATTTGTGACATTCCAGAATGTCCCCAAACATGTGGCTTCTATACACACAAGCCCTTGCGGTCAGTCTGAAGCAATGCTCTCTCATCTCAGAGTAAACCGGTTTGGGATTTTATTTTCTCTCCCTCTTTGTTTATCACTCCGAACATCTGCCTGAACCTCCCCCCTCCCCCCAGCTGAGGCTCGGAGTGGAGGGCAAAGGCTCTCCCACAACACGAGAAGCCAGGGTGGTGGCCTTTTGTTAAGGGCTTTCATCCTGGTCACGTGGATCAAAGCAGTAGTTCTCGGAGACAGCATTTTCTGGTCCTTTCCAGACAGCCTGGGAAAGGAGCCAGCACAGCTCTGGCCCCCAGTGCTAGTTTAATGAAAGAAGATAAGGATAGATATGCAAAGAGCATAACTGTGGTCACTTCTACTGATGCTTTTAGTCCTGATTTCTGCCTGTAAGATAGGAGTTTACCTGTTCTGTGGATGTGCAATACTAGCACAGAGAAGTTCACTTACTGGTCTTAAGTCACACAACAACACACGGAGTCTGGCTGACTGATTCTCTTGTTTTTTCTCCAATCCTTCCCTGGGTCATCCAGGGCCATTGGGTTGGTAAACAGTGGGACCTCAGGGAAGATCAGGCTATTGTTTCCTCCTCTCTTGCCAGCCTCACCTCAGAGTCACTAATGTGGAAATAATAGTAGTTAAGGACATGCTCTGTCTTAGCTGCTGCTTAGAGCATTATTGAGGTAGGTGCTACCAGTGTCCTCACTGAATAGAAGAAACAAGGCACAGAGAAGGAAAGCAACTCAACTAAGGACACACAGCCTGTGCATCAAAGTTAGGATCCGAGAGTAAGTAGTTCCCAAAGACCGCTCTGTTGTTTGAGACAGTTTTGAGCTGTAGCCCAGGCTAGCCTAGAGCTCTCACTCCTACTGCTTGGCCTCTGGAGTTCTGGAATCACAAATATATATCACCAAACCTGTTTAAAATGAAAACTTTTTGTTATGTGTGCTCTACCACAATCCAGTAAGCTTTGGAAAGAAGCGGTTACAGAGGGAGAAAGAGGCACAGTTGGGGAGCGTTTGCTGAGCATCCCTCAAGCCCTGAGTTTGGTCTTTAGCACTGCATATGATGTGGTTGAGGGTGGGAGGGTAGGACCAATGGTCCACGTTCATAATCCCGCCACTGAGAAGACAGACAAGAGGATCAAGAGTTCAAGGTCACCCTTAACTACATAGTGAACTAAAGTCTAGCCTGAGCTACATTTTTTAAAAAATATTTATTTATTTATTATGTATACAATATTCTGTCTGCATGTATGCCTGAAGGCCAGAAGAGGGCACCAGACCTCATTACAGATGGTTGTGAGCCACCATGTGGTTGCTGGGAATTGAACTTAGGACCTCTGGAAGAGCAGGTAGTGCTCTTAACCTCTGAGCCATCTCTCCAGCCCCTGGGCTACATTTTTTAAAGTGGTCTTTCTGGCATTCAGGAGGCAGAAGCAGAAAGATCACCAGTTCCAGGCCAGCTTGAGCTACACAGAAAGACTCCATCTCAAAAACCAATTCTTTTTTAATTTGTCATCTTTGACTGTCTGGGGGTCCCCTGGCGTTGGAATTGTGCGCTCTCATTAACTGTCATTTCATCTCCAGAATCTTTTCAGCTTACAAAGCTGCCACTCAGGATGAGTTGGACAATAGGTCCCAGTCTCATTCCTTGCACCCTGGAGCCACCATGCTCCCTCCTATCTCTGTGCCAACCATGATGTTGTTGTTGTTGTTGTCTGTTTTGTAATTTTGCACCATCTCCCCTGTGTAGCCCTGGCCAGCCTTGAACTTGCAGCAATCCTCCTGCCTTCCCTGTGGTGGGAAGGGAACCCTACTATCGGGAGAATCATGATGTGTGTCTCTTTGTGACTGGCTTATTTTTCTTAGCAGTGTCCTCAGAGTGCCGTACAGTGTCCCATGAGTGAGCATGGTCTTTCTGTTCCAGGCTGACGAAGCTGGGCATGGTGAGGCAAACCTTGTTGCACTGTCAAGGTGCGTCAGTGGACTACACTTCCCAGTTTAGATCCCAGGAGAACATCCAAGTGCGAGGTCCTAGAATGCTCTTTGGAACATTGTTATAGGTACCCTTGTTGCTAGTAGCCCCAGTTTGAGAGAGACAGGGTCAGCATCTTGCGCTTGGCCCTTCCCAGAAGTCCTGTGATAAACATGTATCATCTGACTGGTGTTGCCTCCGGAACTCAGTGCTCTGTCCTCAGCTGTTTCCCACTGTGAGGCGAGAACCCAAAGCCAGGAGGCCAGAGAGGAGTTTATTGGTTCACATAGCAAAAAAATCCAGCATGACCTGGACTCAAGTGTCTGGATGGAGTCCCAGTCAATGTGACGAGAGTGAAAAACTACATGGGTCAGCAGACAGTCAAGTCCTGCACTGCAGCCTCTGTCCCCTGCTTAATGAGTGATCCTGCAGTCTGTGCTGGCTAGTTATCTGTCAGCTTGGCACAAGTTAAAGTCATTTGGAAAGAGGGGACCTCAAAGGAGAAGATGCCTCTATCAGGTTGGTCTGTGAGCAAGTTTGTAGTGCGCTTTTTTTTTTTTTCCCCAACAAGGTTTCTCTGTATAACAGCCCTAACTAGCTGTACTGGAACACACTCTATAGAGCTGTCCTCGAACTCACAGAGATTCACCTGCCTTGGCCTCCTGAGTGCTGGGATTAAAGGTATGCACCACCACCACCTCACACATATCTTTTTTTTCTTGATTGATGATTATTGTGGGAGGGTTCAGCTCTTTGTGGGTGATGTCACCTATGGACTGGTGGTCCTGGGTTCTATAAGAAAGTAGGTTGAGCAAGCCAGGAGGAGCAAGCCAGTAAGCAGCACCCCCTCCAAGGTCTCTGCTTCAGTTTCTGCCTCAGGTTCCTGCCCTGGCTTCCTTCAGTGATGGGCTGTGTTGTGGCACAGTAAACTGCAACAAACCCTTTCCTCCGGTTGTTTTTGGTCATGGTGTTTGTGCACAGCAATAGTAAACCCGACTAAGACACAGCCCAATCTTCAGGGTACCACGGAAGCACAGGAAAGAAAGGTAAGGACTTGGCGAGCATACTTCTTTTCCTCCCTTGTTCAGTGAAATATGGTCTGCAGTGTGGAGCTGGCAGCTGGGCAAAGGAGAAACCAGAAACTTGTCCGAGGCCAGTGGTGTCCTGGAACAGCTGGAGAAGTGTGTGAGTGAGTGGATCCCAGCCCATGGATGCCCATATAGGGCATTAGGGTGAAGGAAGAGCTGCTACCCCTGAGGGAGTGTTCTCCTTACCTTACTGGAGTGTCAGGGAAAGCCCAGAGGGGAGGAGTGACTCAACCCTGAATACCTCTGCTGCTGGGGAAAATCCACCACAAGACTTGCAAACAGCTCATTTCCTTCCCTAGCCTGTGACTTCAGAGAGTGTTTACACTGATGCATGGTCAGGACTTCAGAGGTAACCTTTGATGGAACTTGAATGTTTTCCTGGTGAACCTGAGAACAAAACATGATGCTAGCTTTCTGTGGGTGAATTCCAGCCCAGGAGACAGCAGGACACATTTGCTGTCCTCATGCAACTTAGGAGGTGGAAAAGTAACTTTGGTTTATTACACTTTTATTATTCATTATACTGTACATACTTTGTGTTTATATTAATAACATTGGTGTGTGTGTGTGTGTGTGTGTGTGTGTGTGTGTGCAGGCAACTTCCAGAGGTTCAGTTCTCTCCATCCTATCAATCCTGGGTTCGAACTCAGCTTGTCAGGCTTAGTTAGCGGCAAGTGCCTTTACCCACGTCCCACAGCCATTATAGTTACATTGACAGCAATAGTTTAAAAACATTTCCGGGGCCGGAGAGATAGCTCAACTGTTAAGAACATTGACTGTTCCTCCAGAGGACCCGGGTTCAATTCCCAGCACCCACATGGCAGCTCACAACTGTCTGTAACTCCAGTTCCAGGGGGCCTGACACCCTTACATAGGCAAAACGACAATGTACAATAAACAAATAAATTAATTAAAGATAAAAATAAATATTTCCATGCTGGGCCGTGGTGGCACACACCTTTAAACCCAGCACTGCGGAGGCAGAGGCAAGCAGATCTCTGTGAGGCCAGCCTAGGCCAGCCTGGTCTACAGAGTAAGTTCTAAGATAGCCAGACTTACACATAGAAATCTTATCTCAAAAGCAAAAAAAAAAAAAAAAAAAAAAAGCATTTCCACAATAACACTTTTTTTTTTAAAGACAGGATTTCTCTGTGTAACAGCCCTGGTTGTCCTGGAACTCACGGAGACCCATCTGCTGCTGCCTCCTGAGTGCTGGGATTAAAGGTGTGTACCACCACTGCCTGGTCCCCAAAGCTTTCTTAAAGCTTTATATATTTTTTTAAAATTATTATTTATTTATTATGTATACAATATTCTGTCTGTGTGTATGTCTGCAGGCCAGAAGAGGGCACCAGACCTCATTACAGATGGTTGTGAACCACCATGTGGTTGCCGGGAATTGAACTCAGGACCTCTGGAAGAGCAGGCAATGCTCTTTACCACTGAGCAATCTCTCCAGCCCCAAAGCTTTATATTTTTGAGACAGCCTTGCTACATTGCCCAGGCAGAACGAGAACTTGGCATCCTCCAGCCTCAGTCTCCTGAGTAGCTGAGATTAAGGTCTGTGCTACCAGGTCCAGTTTTGTCTTTTTTTTTTTTTTAAATGTATGGACCATACAGAAACCCATGGTAGTCTAGATTTGGCCTGTTTGTTGAATTCTGGTCTTCATGTATGCAAACCCCACCCCTCCACTTATACTTTTAAATTTTATACACTATTTATAAAGTCATCTCTAAGTTATAGTGATCAGACCCTCTACTGCACTCTATATTTTAATTTTTATATGATTTTGAGGGCTTGCAGATTCCCAATATTGCTTAAATTGTGGAAGTAATAAAACAATTCTAATTCACTCTGGTTTTGCTCAGGCTGGCCTTCAACTCACTATTGGGTGAGGCTGGCCTCAGTCTGCACAGCCTCCAGTCTCTTTCAAGTGCTGGGATTACAGGCATGCATAACCCACGCAGTTTCTACTTCACCTTGAATAGGTGTGTGAATTGCCCATTCACTTTCTTGGCCTATTAAAAATGGTTTACTTATTCTTCTGGCAAAACTCTGGATAGTTTATTCATAATAACTCTTGAATTAGTTTCTAGTGTGCTTTTTCTCTCACTTTAAATGCCTTTAGAAGTTGATAAAATATCCTGAAGCTTATTTACAAGAAAGAAAACTGTGGTTGGGTGTGGTAGTATACTTGGGAGGTAGAGGCAGGAGTGTCAGAAGTTCAAGGCCAGGCTTGGTTACTCGAGTCTGTTTCCAAAACAGAAGGAAAAGAAAGAAAATTGTAAAAGAAAAGATTCTTGAGGGGTGAAAGAGTATGTTTCCTCTGAGACACTATAAATTGATGTGAGTGTGTGTGTGCATGCATGCATGTGTGTGTTTTTTGCTAGGGATCAAACCGAGAGCCTCACACACGCCAGATAAGTTCTCTACCACAAAGCTGTATCTGTAACTTCATTTTTAAAACTACAGTCATTAGGGGACTGGAGAGATGGCTCAGAGGTTAAGAGTACTGACTGCTCTTCCAGAGGACCCAGGTTCAATTCCCAGCACCCACATGGCAGTTCACAACTGTCTGAAGATCCAGTTGCAGGGGATCTGACACCTTCACACCGATGAACATAAAATAAAGTTAAATAAACCATAAAAATATTTTAAAAAAACTACAGTCATTAAACTTTTTTTCTTGTTCTGTCAAAACAACAAAGATTTAGAAAGATGTATTTTGCTAATATAAGGCAGCTGGCTGAGGGTTAGTAGCCTTGGAGGCCCTCGTGGTCAGCTTTGGAAAGCACCTCTGTAGCCCTACAACCATCGTAACTGCCCCTCCTTTGGCCAACTGGTCAAAAGAATGAAATACTTCTGGGCTTGGGTGGAGAAATGACATTCTGATCTGCTCCAAAGATAAAAGCATTACATTGTGTACCATGTCTCCTCCCCTCAGAGTTAATCCAGGGGTGGTGAAAAGGTTTAGTGGGTAAAGGTACTTGCCCATTAGCCTGGCAACCTGAGATCAACCCCCAGGACTCACATGGTGGAAGGAGAGAACCAACTCTTTTATTGTTTGTTGTTTTGTTTTTAAAACAGGGTTTCTCTGTGTAGTCCTGGCTGTCCTGGAACTCATTCTGTAAAACAAGCTGGCCTCGAACTCACAGAGATCCCCTTGCTTCTGCCTGCTGAGTGCTCGAATTAAAGGCGTGCGCCACCACTGCCTTGCCACTTGTGGTTCTTGCGGAGGACCCAAGCTCGATTTTCAGCACCCACAGCTCACAATCATCCGTAACATGAGTTCAAGGGGATCCAACACCCTCTTCTGTCTCTGCAGGCACCCGGCAACACATGTGGTACACATACATACACACATTCAGGAAAAATATAGGTAAAATAAATCTGAAAAGAAATAAAAGAGATGGGGAGGTTAACCCAGCTGACTGGCCTGTCAATCACCAGGACAGGAATTTACTCCCTGCAAAAGCTGAAGGCATGCTAAAGAGATGGGAGGAATAATTATCCCCTTAGTGAGATAATGTACTTGTTCTTCCCAGAAGTCTCTCTGTCAGTGCAGGCACTTACATGGCCTTGCAGCCTGCCTCCTTTTCTGAGTTCTACAGAATAACTGTTCCTTTTTCTTCTCCACTCTCTTCTTTTTGATAGTAGCTAAAAGTCTAAGCATGCTTTCTCTGGCACTCTGGGCTTTCTCACTCTTTCTCTGAAGTCCTCTTCCCCATCCACCGGATGGTTCCTTGCTGACCTCCATTGCTGAACATGCAGTCTTGGATCTTAACTCAAAAGTCATGACTTCCTTTCTTAAATTAATCTTTATTTACTTGTGGGAGTGACACAGGCATGCCAAGACATTTGCGGATGTCAGGTGTCAGAGGACAACTTTCAAGAGCGAGTTTTTCTCCTTCTACCATGTAGGCCCTGGGAATTGAACTCGGGTCTTACCAGGCTTGGTGGTGAATGCCTTTACCCACAGAGCCTTCTCACCAACCCATTATTTTCTTCCCCTTCTCCATTCCCTTTCACATGCCAGTTACTGAGATTTACAGCTTGCCTGACCTATTACTTTCTCTCAAACTCTACCCAAATTATCTGCAAGCTTTCTTCTGAGTTTGTTTCTAAGTTCACTTATTAACAAGACTAGGAATCCAAAAGGGATCCCTAGTGATTCTCTGTTAACACTAGCTTTCTGGGCAAAGTGCCTGGCACATAGAACATAGTTAATGAATAGCTCTAATTACTAAAGAATAAAGGGTTTCCTTTATTCCACCTGCTAAATATTAATGCATGAAGCAATATGAGTTGAAATAGGATCATTTAAACCATTTATTATTATTGTTACTATATGAATGCTTTGTCTGCATGCATGTCTGTACACCACATGTGTATCTAGTACCCATAAAGGCTATAGGAGGGCATTGGATCTTCTGGAAGTGAGCAAGGTTACAGATGGTTGTGAGCCACCATGTGGGTGCTGGGAACTGAGCCCAGGTCCTCTGCAAGAACATCCAGTACTCTTAACTACTAAGTCATCTCTCCAGCACCCTGAAATAGGAACTTAACCCCAGTGAGTAGAAGTAACAAGGAAACAGCATAGCAATTTAAAGAAAGAATGCCTAGTAACTTGTTGAAGTCTGCTCTGTGCTGGATGTGGTGTAGGTGTTTCCCTTACACCATCTTACCAATGGTGCTGCATGATGGGAGAGAAAAGGGACCCTCCAGTGAGTGAAGTAACCTGCCCAGGTCATCCAGCAAACAAGAGGCCGAACTGGAGCCAATATTAATGCCTTTCCATTGTCATCCATGTCACTAATTAACTTCACTAATTAACACCAGTGTCGTGCTTTTCTGTTTATAAATGTGTCTCAAGTCACCTAAGACTTTGGACCACCTTGCCAGGCATGTGGCATCTACAAAATGAAGCTCCAGGAGGCCACTTGGTCCTAGCCACACTTGGCCTGGCCCTGTGCCTTAGAAAACAGTCATGGAATCCCGACAGCAGCTCCTGCCATTCTTTCTTCAGCACTGACAAAGTAAGATTCAGAGCGGAGTGTGAAGCCCCTCAGGTCCCACCACAAGCATCTCAGAAACAGGTGTAGGTTGTTGTGCCAGGCTTTGAACTCAGGATCTTGCCTACGGCAGGCAAGCACTCTAGCACTGACCTACTACATTCTTATTTTCTTCCTTTTTATTTTTTATTTTATTTTATTTGGAGATGGTTTTACTATGTGGCCCTGGCTGTCCTGGAACTCACTATGTAGATCAGGCTGGCCTTGAACTCATAAGATCCACCTGCCTCGCTGGGACTAAAGGTATGTGCCACCATGCTCTGGTGGGCTTCTACTTTTTTTGTTTGTCTGTTTGTTTCTTCTCTTAGTTAATTTATTCTTTTACAATTTTACACACACACGTATACAGTGCTTGCATGCACTGTTACACTTTGATCATTTTTGACCATTGTCTTCTTTTCTCCCTCCCTCTGAAGCCCTACTTCCCAACAAGTTCCTCTCCTACTTCACGTCTCCCGTGCCACCTATTGTATTTAACTAGGGCTGCCTGGAGGAGATGGATGATTTACTTGAACATGGGCAACTTACCCATGACTACACCATTAAGGAATATGACCTCCTCCCAGTAAACATTACCTGTAACATTAAATGTAACATAAACATTAACTACTCAGGGAGGGGTGGGGCCTTATGAGCCCCTGCTCCATCCTGGATGGAATGTTGATGGGTGGGAATCTTGTGTTGGTAGCCACTGCTGCATTGAGTTCATTGGCGCAACAACCACTCATCCAGAGGTAACTAGGACGTCAGGCTTGACCGACCACAAGCGCCTTTTCCGTGTCCATTCATCAAGAAGCACAAGAGTTTGTAAAAAATGAGGCTCCCCAGCATCTTTCATTTGAAGCCTGCCCACAGCTCCTCACACACGGATTAGGAGGGCGTTGTTACTCTCTTTTTCTAGCCTGAAGTTTCGAAAGGTCACACAGTTAACCTGTAGAAAGGACAGCAGCAGAGCCAGGTCCACCCATGAGTGCCCGTGGCAGGAAAGGGGCGAGGCGAGACAGTCAGCCCAGTTCAAGGTCAGGCAGCAGCCTGCAGCCTCCTCCCCGCCCGCCTCCTTCTTGGCTCAAAAGGCTTCTCTCCAACCGCCCTGGTGTCTCCAGCTCCCAGATCTCTCCTACTGCGGTGCGCGACTGTGCCAAACCGTGCCAGCTCACTCAGCGCGGAAACCTGCAACCTGGCGGACCTGTCGCGCCTTTGCAACCATTGGTGGCCGTAGAAGCGGGATAATTTACATATACGTTCTCTATTGGCTCGTAGGGCGTAAGTAGGCGGATGCATCTAACTTCACCTGCCTGCGGATGGAACGCGTGGAGCTTCTCAGCTGAAAAAGTGCCGGGGCACAGAGGGCTTGCGGCTCAAGAGTCAGTGGTCACTGCACCCTGGCCGCTCCTGTGGCTGTGAACCGATCGGAGCAAGATACAGCCATTACCTGGTTACTTCTGGGGGCCGGAGGGTAGGCACAGGACACAGATTTCATTTTGAAACATTTTACGCCCAAATTGAACCTTGAGGCCCATCAAACCGTGAGTGCTTGTGTCTACACGTGTGTGTGTATATATACACTTGATAGTAGCCAAAAGGCCTAGGACGTGGCAAAGATATTGAGATTTCTTTAGGCTCCTCGCAGAGATGTTTGTTGTTGTTTTATATTGTTTGGCTTTGTTTTGAGAAAAGGTCTCCCTATATATTCCTGGAAAGCCTGGATGGATGCTATGTAGCCTCATCTGACCTCAGACTCACAAAGCTCCTCCTGCCTTTGCCTCCCAAGTGTGAGGATTAAAGGGGTGCACCAACCACCACAGCTCTTAGTTTATAAACAGCAGACCTAACCTGTCATTCAACACCCTCTACAACCAGCTGTAACCTCCTCCCACCTGCCCACGTACCCTGGGCCTGAGGCTGTAGCCACATGTGCTGGTCACCACCCAACCCACCTTCCCTGTCCCTACAGCCTTTCCTTTAACTCTGCTTTTGTGGAAACTTCCACCAGGAGTTCTCATCTTCAGGGATCTCTTAGGTGTCCCTTTCCCCCATTCCTCATTGGAATTATCTCCCTCACACTTCTAGGACATCTACTCTATGTGCAGGTGAGGTCAGCTGTGAAAATTCTATGGGTATTGCCTCCCTGCTTCCTGTGAGTTCTTCAACCCCATCCCATTCACAGCCTTCCATTCTTGATGTTTCTATGTACGTATGTATGTGTGTGTGTGGTGTGTGCAGTATGTATAGTGTGTGGGTGTTGATGCACACTTGTGTAGAGGCCAGAGGAAGACTTCAAGTGCCCTGCTCTGTTGCTCTCCATCTTGTCCCCTTGATATGCCGCTGAACCTGGAATTAGGCCTTCAAGCCACATTAATCCTCCCGACTAGCTCCTAGGAGTGCAGTACTGTGATAATGCTTGCCTTTTCACGTGGGTCCTGGAGATTCGAACTCAAGTCCTCATGCTTGAGCAGCAAAGACTCTTCTACACTGGGCCATCTCTCTGGACCCTCCTTCCACCTCTCTTGTCACTTCTTGGTCTGACATGGACAGAGCACCCGCTATCTGTCAGCTGCTGCTCTTTGCCCTAGAACTAGGGCAAGGAGCCACGGCTGGAAGTCCCCTGGCCAGTGAGAGTTTACAGTTTAATGAAGACAAAGTGGATACTGTGGCAGAGAGCACAATTTGTCAGCCAGTGGAAAAGGAAGGCCACAGCTGCATTTCCGCCTCCCCCTGGAAAGCGGGGATGAGCCTGAACCAGGGCTAGAGGTTCAGAGGTGACTTTTGAGTGGAGGTGGTATCTTAGGAATGGCCTGAATGGTGTAAGGAGAGTCAGCAATTGAGATAAGAGCGCTCCTGATGGAGACAGCAAGATGGAGCAGTTCCTGTGCCCTGTCAGAGCACAAAAAATGGATACTGGATCCCAAAGGACAGGGGAGGGGGCGATAGCTCAGGAAGGAATGTGTGTGAGACCTTGTATTTCCCAGGAGTGGCCAGCATGGCCTCTGCTCGGGTCACTGAGCTGAGCTCTAACCAGCAGTGCGTTTGGAAGCCCCACCCAGTGAGTTTTGCTTCTGCAGAAGGCAGCTCTAGACTTCAGAGGGAATTCTTGATCTGGACCTCGTCAGTGTGACCTTAGGAGCCACTTGGTCTACTTAGTCTACGTCTCCATCCAATGGGTAGGGTAATAACAGCCACCATGCCATGCTGGAGCATTGGGAGGTGTGAGGACTATATATGATATGATCCTTTAAAAATAATTTGGATGTGTGTGCAAGTGTTTGTGTATGTTATGTATGTATGGGTACCTATAGAGGCTAGAAGAGATGATCACGTCCCCTGGAACTGGAGTTACAGGTTGTTGTGACCTGCCTGACGTGGTACTGAGAACAGAACTCAGGTTCTCTGGAAGAGCACCAGCAAGAACTCTTAACCGCTGAGCCATCTCATTAGCCTATATTATTACACTCTCAACCACAAATATGATGCCGGACTGAGCTTTTTGCTCCCAGGACAAACTGTCACGCTTTGGGGAGAATAAGGAAAATCCCACGTGTTCTTACTTTGGAGTTGTTTTCAGCCCTCAGTTGGACGCCTGATGCAGACCCTGCAGATATGAGAGGCCAGCTCAACCGTCTGCTAGCCCCGTAAATGTCAGCTGCTGTTGCCCCTCTGAAGCCTTAGGGACCAACTGGTGGAGAGACTGGGGGCAGAGTCGGACTCTCCAGCCCTGGGAAGTACTTGACTCAAGGATATTTACAGGAGGGCTGTCTCTGTCTCCTGGGCCTGCTCCAGACAGCTTGATACTTTGGCCCTTGTTCACTGGGAGACACTCAGTCTGAGCCTCCTGCTCCACTGCTGGGCACCTCCCTCTCTTGCCCAACCGCCCCGGCGTGGTTTTGTCTCATTTCCGTGGTTGAATGATTTCGAGGTTGAGGGGCTTTTCTTGGGCAATAGTGGTGCTGTCTCTGTCCCTCTTCCTCTGGGCCTCTCCCTCCTGAGCTTCTGCCTTCCAGAATCATGAAAGTCATGAAAGTCACTCTCCGATTTAGTCAAGATAACTGTCAAGATAATTTAGGCCTCTCCAGTTTGTAAGCTGTGGTCCCACAAATCTTCCTGGATCATCAAATCAAGTGCATTAGCTTGGTGAAGTTAACACGTTGTTTCTTTCCCCCTTCCTCCTCCCCTCTCTCTCTTCTTCCTTTCTTTTCTTGTTTGAAACAGAATCTCATGTAGCCCAGGCTAGCCTTAAACTTGCTATGTAGCCAAGGCTGGCCTTCACCTCTTGATCCATCTGCCTCCACCTCTCAAATACTAGGATTAGAAGTATATTTGGCACTATACCTGGCTCACACCATTCCTTTAATAGATGAAGAATGCTAAGACCCAGAGAAATCAAGTGATTAGGTCATACAGTGGCCTTTAAAAAAAGAAAAAAGAAAAAAGAAGAAAAGAAAGAAATGAAAAACAAAATTCATGTAAAAACCTTAACCTGGTGTGTTGGGTTTCTTTTTTAAGAAAGAAAGAAAGAGAGAGAGAGAGAGAGAGAAAGAGAGAAAGAGAGAAAGGAAAGAAGAGTTTGTTTGTTTGTTTTGAGGGTCTTATTCACTATGTGGCCCTGGCTGGTCTTGAGTTCTCTAAACATACAAGGCTGGCCTCAAATTCACAGATCTGCCTGTCTCCCTAGTACACCATCATGCCAGGCCATACGTACTAGGTTTCTTACCTGTGTAATTTTAATGTCACCCAGCTAATAAGTGGTGGAACTGAGATTCCAACTCAGATGTTGGGGAGCCAGGTCCAGGCTGCTCTGGACTGGGGGTTCTGTTCCCTCCTGTGAGTTCACCACCCAGCCGGGCTTGGCTGGGAAGGCAGCCTGGGATGCAGGCTTCCTTACATCGGAAGGGGCTTCGTGCTATCTGGCCCATCTTCCCAGCAAACATGACCATAGCTACAGCCCTAGGCCAGGAGGAAGTGGAGTGAGGCCGTATGAAGCAAAGTAAGCCTCCAAGGGAAGAGTCTGAAGAGCCACTGGCACACTGAGTCAACCTTGCCATGTGTGGTGGTGGCTCAAGGGGCTGTGCTTAACCACAGGCTGTGTGTGGGAGCAGCAGGCAGGCTGGTAGTTTTCACCTTCAAACACCCTTTCTACAGAACCAAGGAGGACATCTTTATGTTGTCTTTTCATTCTTTTAAGTCACAGCTTTATTGAGATATAATTCGCATGCCATAAAGTTCGCCAGCTAGGCTGTATAATTTCATGGCTTTCAGGGGATTCCCAGAGCCCCACGACGCCCTCCATGATGTAGTTCCTAAACTTTTTCATTACCCTAAAGAAACTGCAGGACCAGCAAAATGGCTCAGCAGGCAAAGGAGCTTGCAGTCAAGCTTGGCACCATGACTTTTTCTTGGAACCAATGTGGCAGAGAGAACCAATTCCCTCAAGTGGTTCTTTAATCTCTACATGCCTTGGCATGAACACACATGTGTTTACGTGCACACATACCACACATGCATACATGTAAATAAATGTAATTAAATCATCTAGTTAAAAAACTTCTGAATGGGGTGGTTGGAGAGATGGCTCAGAGGTTAAGAGCAGGGACTGCTCTTCCAGAGGTCCTGAGTTCAATTCCCAGCAACCACATGGTGGCTCACCACCATCTGTAATGAGATCTGGTGCCCTCTTCTGGCATGCAAACATACATAGAAGGAATGTTGTATACATAATAAATAAATAAATCTTAAAAAAAAAAACCAAAAAAAACTTCTGGGGTTAAGAGCACTGACTGCTTTTCCAGAGGACCCAAGTTCAAATCCCAGCACCCACATGGCAGCTCACAATTGTCTATAGCTCCAGTCCCAGGGGATCTGACACTCTCACACAGACATACAGACACACAGGCAAAACACCAATGCACAGAAAATGAAATTAAATTTAAAAAGAAAAGAAAAGAAACTTTGTACCCATTAGCAGTCACCGCCCACTCCTCTGCCTCAGCCCTTTCAACCACTGTGGTGCTCCCTGTGGAGGGTGGCCTTGAACTCCAAGCTTCCAGCTTCCACCTCCCGTGTTCATACTATCAACATTCACCACCCCACTGGCTTCATTCCTGTTCCTCATCAAATTAGAGTTCCTTTGGGAGGATGCATCATGTTTTGTTTATCTGTACACCAGTTTGGGAGCATTTGGGTCTATGTAATTATGTTATTATAAGCATTCATGTCCTGAACAAAAGAGCTGTGGCCCTAGGCCTTGAGATACCTTTCATTGTTTTCCACTACTAAAATAAAATGCCACAGACTGGGAAATAGATGAAGAAAATAAGTTAGGGTCTGCAGAAATGGCTCATTACATAAGAGTACTGACTGCTCTTCCAGAAGACCCAGGTTCAATTCTCAGCACCCACATGGTGGTTCTTATCTATCTGTAATTCTACTTCCAGAGGAGTGGGCACCCTCTTCTGGCTTCCTGGTGCACCTGGCATGCACTTGGTGCACAGACACACATACAGGTAAAATACTCATATATGTAATAAGTAGATAGATAGATAGATAGATAGATAGATAGATTTAAAATTAGATGTAGTAGTGCACACCTTTAATCCCAGCTCTGGGGGGGGGCAAAGGCAGGAAGATCTCTGTGAATTTGAGGTCAGCCTGGTCTATATAGTGATATCCAGGGCTACAGAGAGACCTTGTCTCAAAAAGAAAACAAGGAAAGAAAAGAATAGAAAGAATAAGTTTATTTCCCACAGTCCTTTAAGGTAGGTAGTTCAAAATTAAAGCACCAGCATTTCGGGAGACCCTTTTGCTGTTAAGATGTGGAGGGAGCACATCAGGCATCGAGAGGGCTGGGGAAACTGGATTCCCTTTCCAAAGAATGCCCTCTGGAGAGATAACTCACATACTCACATTTTCTGTTTTTGTTTGTTTTGTCAGGGTCTCACTATGTAGACCAGGCTGGCCTAGAATTTACAGAATCTGCCTGCCTCCGCCCCACAAGTGCTGGGATTAAAGGAAGATGACATCACACCTGGCATCATCTTTTTATTTTGTCAGGGTTTCACACCGTAGCCCAGGCTGGCCTCAAACTTGTGTCGATCCTCTTGCCTCGGTCTCTCAAGTGTTGAGGTCACAAGTGTGCACTTCTTGAAGCCCCCACCTTCTTTCTACTCTCCTCCTAGCAACATTTCCACCTGAGTTGGGAGAAGACATTCAAACTGTCACCTGTGGCAACTCTGTTTTTATCCCTGGAAGAACTGCCATGCTTGTCTCCAGGGTGGTGCATTATCTTCCTGCCCTGTGTTAAGGCATGGCATCTCCAATGGCTTCTCTTTGTCTTTTTAAAAATTTCCATTATTTTTAAATATCTCTCTATCTCTTTATGCATTTTTGGTTTTTCAAGGCAGGGTTTCTCTGTGTAATCCTAGCTGTCCTGGACCTTGCTCTGTAGACCAGGCTGGCCTCGAACTCACAGAGATCTATCTGTCTCTGCCTCCTGAGTGCTGGGATTAAAGCACCACCACTACCCAACTTCTCTTTATTTATTTGTTTATTTTGCTGTGATGGAGATCCAGCCATTGTTTTTTAAAATTCTTTTTTTCTGTGTTTGGGTGTTCTGCCTGTTTGTGTGTCCGTGCCTGGTTCTCCACAGAGGGTGGAAGAGGGCGGCCTCTGATTTCCTGACACTGGAATCAGAAACAAGTGTGAGCTGCCATGTGGTGCTGGGAACCCAAACTTGGATCCTTTGCCAGAACAACGAGTACCCTTGCTGGCTGAGCCATCTCTCAAGGCCCCCTGCACCATTTTTATGTATTCTTCTTTTTCTTTATTTAGAGTGATTTCATTGCTTAAGTAAACAAGATAAACGTCCACCACGAGAGCAGTCTACAGATGACTCATGTTTCCAGTTGGGAGCACACACTTAGCCTTACAATAACAACCAATGGGTGAATTTGGCTCGCCATAAGCATCAAGAGGAATTCAGCATCCTTATCCTTTCTATTATTCTCGAGATGCTGTGGTCAGCGACAGCTTTCTTCATTTCTTTTTTTAAGCTTCCCTGTGGAAACTGAGACTTCCGCCCAGGCCGTCCAGGGTGGGGAGGTATGCAGTGGCTGTGGGCTGGAGCACTTCTGCCCTGGAGACAGCAAGGCCTGGCTCCTCCCTCTTCGCTGAGTTCCTGAGAACCACTTAACCTTTCTGAACATTTTCTCTATCTCATTATCTCCACATCCCTGCTGTCTTTCTCTCTTTTTTTTTTTTTTCGGGGGGGGGGAGCACTAAAGATGAACCCAGGGTCTCATTCCTGCTAAGCACGCACTTTGCCAATAAATTACACTGCATCCCTAGTTTTCTCTCAGACTGATGTGGGATCTAAGGAGATCACAGGGTAGTTGGGTATATAAAGTTTTGAGCTTCCTTGTCCATTTTTAAAAAGTTATCTATTCCCAAAGGCTTGTTCTCAGTTCCTTCCTTCCTTTCTTCTTTCCTTCCTTCCTTTCTTCCTTCCTTCCTTTTTCCCTCCCTCCTTCCCTCCCTCTCTCCCTTCCTCTTTCTGAAGTACTGAAGATTGAACCTAGGGTCTCTCACATATATGTTGAGCCAGCCTTCTACCACTGAACATAAACCTCTTTTTACTTTTTGTTTTGAGGCAGAACTTCACTAAGTTGCCCAAGCTAGCCTTGCCTTGAATTTACTCTGTAGCTCAGGTTGTCCTTGAATTTTCCATCATCCTGCCACAGTCTCCCGAGCACCTATGGTAGACCTGGGTTGCCAGGCTCAGCCTCTCATTCTTTCCATCCCCTTCCCCCTCTCTTTTTTCCTTCCTTCCTTCCTTCCTTCCTTCCTTCCTTCCTTCCTTCCTTCCCTCCTTCCTTTCTTTCTTTTTAAATTTTTTTTTTCAAGACAGGGTTTCTCTGTATAGGCTTGACTGTCCTAGAACTCACTCTGTAGACCAGGCTGGTCTTGAACTCACAGAGATTCACCTACTTCTGCCTCCTGAGTGCTGAGGTTAAAATCATGGGCCACCATTCCTAGCCTCTAATTCTAAATTTGACACTTGTTTCTTAGTGGGGACACTCATTATCCTTGGAGGGGAGGGAAGGACAGTGCACTGGAAGGAGACAAGAAGAGACTGTGCCTCCCTCCTTCCTTCATCCCCTTCCCCTCCCCCCACCTGTGACTCTGTCTCTGTCTCTCTGTGTCTCTGTCTCTGTCTGTCTCTCTCTCTCTCTCTCTCAGGCTCTGGGTTGTAAACTTCACCTGAGTGTCCAGTTTTTCTGCCATAAAAAGGAGATTAGACACACCTCGCAGGGCTATTAGGATCAAATGGCTTTTGGAAAGCATTCAGCCAGTGGCTTGCACCGTCATTAAAACAGTACGAGGCATTCATCTCGCCCCTGCAGACTGAGTTAATGCAATGGCAGCTCAGGAGAGGCATGCAGCTGCCAGGTTTGGAGGAGCAGACTCAGAAAAGGTCG